AGAGCACTATGAATTGTTCTTCACGCGCACAGTAGCTGAAATTTAAAACTGTTAAAAGAAAAGGCTCAATAAACTATGGCACAGATATAATACACTACGCATCAATGTCTCTTCCCTTTGTGCTTTGAACTTTTCTATGCGGAGCGCTGCGCGCTGTGACATGGGATGCGCATAAGCACTTTGTACCACTCCGTAATGGAGCCTTTCATGTTATAATACTTTTGCGCAATGAAAGATTGTTAATAGCCTTTCTTGTTCTGTCTTATCTATCCTATGTTGCTGCCTCATTACTGTGCTATAAATGTAGCTATAAATGTGCTATAAAACAATGTTTTTCATTAATGTATATTACAATACAAAGAGCAATGTGTAACATTTGACCAGAGTATCGTGCCACCCCTAATTTAAACCATCCCTAGAAGTGTTATACAAATTTTTGAGGCCACGTTTTTGTGCTTGATTGTTGAATTCTAATAGACAGCCACCATTTAATGTCCCCAAAGTGCACTTAAACTAAGTTGCGAGTTGGAAAGGGTTACCGTTACCTTGCACATGCAAAGTTTTATACCAAAACAAAGACATTTCCACAAATTTTTCATTCTGATTTCACCTGAGCACTTCACAAAGAGGTAAATCAAGGCCTCGTCTGCTTGGGGAAGAAAAGAGATTGGATTTCAAAAGCAGGCGAATCCCTGTAAATCTGAACGACAACAATAACACCGGCAGCAAGCAAACGGCTGTGAGTTTCTCTCGCAGGTGCCTCAATTAGGGAAGCGGTATGAAAAATGCATGGCACCCTTACTAGCCTGCGTGTCAGCTATCTTTTCCCTTCCAAGTGTCCTCTTCCTCTGCCCCTGTCTCTGACAAGTTGCGGCGGTAGGCAATCAAGGCCCGGAGCAGCCCCCAGGCAATTTATCTCTCAGCCAGTCTAACACGAAGGGGCAAAGGGCTATGGAGCTCGGCAAAATGATAATACCTCCTCAGATGAATATTGCATGTTGATCAGTAATAACTCAGCCAGAAAACTCCCCGACTGCATGGAAGAGGAAAGAGACTAGCGGGGTGATTGAGCTCATAGGGGCTCTTGCATGATGTGAAGGAAATGCCTGCATGATTTACCCCATCGTGACTGTCCCGTCATATACCACACCAGTATTATAACATAGGCTACATAGTTTATGTATCTTTAGGGGTTTCGCTGAAGCATTACACAACAAACCGGCGGTTAGAAATGCGATGCCTTAGCTAGGTTCATTACCATGCAGCTTTATTCCACAGAGGCACAGACACTGTAGCAGACATAGCTTAACGTTGCTGTGCATGTGGATGGCTATGTGGTGAAAATACAGATGGAGGAATTATGGGATTGTGCATTGCATTTGTGTCCGGGTCTTATCATGAATCAGCTTTCCATCCGTAAGTAGCAGTTTCGGCTAAACTTTTCCACACCCTCTTGTGGATAAATAAACAAAACGATTACAAATCATCGCTCAGTGAGGTTTATTTGAATATAGAGAATGTGATATTATTATCTTTGCTCCAAAACATGGTGAGTGGCCCACACAAGCAGTAATTTAAAACTAGGGATGCACCGTATCGGCCCGATACTGGCCTCCTGTACTCGTACTCGTTAAAATGCTCCGATACCAAACGCCGATACCACACAGCATGTGATGAGCGCCATATTCAAACAAAGAAACACTGACAACAGACAGCAGAAAGGAGTTATGGATGTCTACTACGAAGTATATGTATGCAATGAATATAATGTTAAATATTCAGTATTAACGCCTGCATATCTGATGTGTGCGAGCTGATAAACAAAGCACGCTGAGTGGATTGAGCGCGCGGCGGCGCAGATGCGCGAGCTTGCCGAGTGAATATATCTTTCTCACAGACATCACTGGAAAGTCAAAAACAAGTAAGTAAAACAATGCACAAGTTACTTAACGGTAGGGAGAGAGAGAGAGAGAGACAGAGAGAGAGAGCGAGAGAGAGAGAGAGCGCGCACTTCTGTTGTGTGATCTTTCATGTTCACTCACTTAGCACACGCATCATTTGGATTAAAACGAAATCGTACAAATAAAACCATTCATAGGGGCATTCACTATAATCATCATTTATTTTCAACCTTAGGCATACACGACTTTCTAGCGAAAGTGAATCTAGCAGCCTGTGTGAAATGCGCTAGACTGTACTATTCTGCATCAGTACAAACACGTGCAGGCGTTGCGCGTGTTTTGCTTGCTTGAGTGTTTCTGCATTATATGAGTGGCTTTGGAATATAAACCGCAGCACGTTTCAGATGAAAAAACGCGACTTCTATTTCTGAAAATATCACAGTTAGGAGATTTATAACGAGTGGTTCCCTGCATTATTACAGCAAAGCGCGTGATTACAGTACTAAGCCGCTGCTCTAATGCTATTAA